CGCTTTCCGGCGTCGATATAACCTGTAGATTACATTGCTGAATCTTCGTTTCGATCTACCCAGAACACTCAGACTAGAACCAATTTACAGAATGTTCGTTTCACAAATATATCGTACCGGCAATGCAGGACCTTCCTCTAGCGTCTAATGCTAACCATTGGACCACACCGAGGTCATCAATTTAAGAACACGCTATCCAAAGTTTTTATTTCCCGGAAATTGAAAGATATCTTCTAACTTCCCTTTGTTAAATTGAACTAAAATTGGACGAATAGAAACTAATAGGTATATCAGTAATCTATCACGAAGTGAAATGGAATCAGATTGCGTCTGAAAGTTTCAGAAACTCGTTGAGCAGTTCACATACTCTTGAGTTGTTGAACTATGGCCGACGACTTCTGGCTGAAGTTTATTTATTTATGGACATATTTGGGTTACAAGTCTGGGATCCCTCACTTGGAAAGTTATTAACTAGATTTGAATTTGTGAACTGTTATATACATAGGAAATGAAACTATTTTTGACTGACCAGCCAGCTGTGACCATAGGACCTGTCAAGGCTTCGAAACATTGGTTTATTTGCAAAAACAAATGATATGCAATTTAGATCTTAACAATCTTTTTTATAAAAAAAGGACCTCAAAAGTTCGTGGAACTACATCTACTCGGAAAGAGCGCAAAATCGTATTCATTCCTCTTGTTTGCCACCCTTAGAGGTGGAATATTTTTATTAAATTCAAATGGGACCAATAATGAGGTACCCTCTTTCCAACAAAAAAAGAATCAACAAAATCATACACACAAAAAGTACAGTCGAATTGAGAACATAAAAAAAACCGACTTCAAAAGTACGTGGAATTATATATAATTACCAAGTTTTATTGAAATCGGTTACCGGAAAGTGCGCATACCCGGTTCATCCCCTAGTTCGCCACTTTACGGGACTTGACACAGGAGATAATAAAAATCGGTTCTCACTACTCAAAGTATATTGAAAGCGAAAAACGCCTTAAATTGGAGTATAGCAAAATCAACCATTAAAATAATTGCTCCTTATAATAAAATTATAAAATGAATCTTCATGCTATTTATAAAAATGAATCTTCATGCGTGAACAGCCACCCTTAGAGGTGAATGATTTTCTTTAAAATTAAATGGGTCCACTGTGGAGGTACCCTCTTTCCAACAAAAAGGAATCATGAAATCTATTGACAAATACTGGAGTTATCGCGTAACATACATACAAAAAAAAACATACAATCGAATTGGGAACCTTCTCCTTTCTTTGAAGTCGGTTAAAAAATATTTCATATGTGACAATTGCGAAAAACTAATAACTCGATATGTTATGTATACGTCTTTAGCTTATAAGAGAAAAGTGGTGGTGTAATGGTGTTTTATTTGTTTATTTAGGACTTTTTACAAAATATACATGAAAAAATGCAAAACAATAAACATTGTGGCTCGAGTTGTTGTGTGCGTACATGGAAACATTTAAACGAAACACGTATTTTAAATATAGTGTTACAAATCAAAACCAGAAATCATAAAAACGACTAGAAATCAAGAATAATTTTAATGAAATAAAAATCGGTTACAAAATCTAATGTTCATATTTGAAAAGCACGTGATGTTATATAAATCAACTATAGGTAAATACGCGTCGAGAGCACACCAGCAATAAAGCAAAAAGAGCCGTTAGCTTGGTTTGCAACGCCTTATATACTATTCGTCGCTGACAGTTGGCAGCTATGATGGTAGGTTGGCAGCTCTGGGCAGAGACGTTCCTAACACGGCCTCTCCTGACCAGGCAGCGTCCTCGCAGCCTACTGAGGAGATATGCGCGGGCGTAACTGGCTACATCATCATCATCAGAATCTGAAAGTGCACAAAGCTTTACAGAGGTGAAAGCTACATGACATCACGTAGGCGTTAACAGCATGAGGTTGAAAAGAATAGTGATCTTGCAAAAGTTCTCAAGTATAGTTAAACTCACACAATAAACTAAATAAGCACTAAGTTCCCACAAGGATTTACATGAATTCGAAATTAATCTGTGTCTTAATCCTTATCAATCGAGCAATCTAGCATTCAAATCACTTCCAGGTCACCTCAGTGCCTTGTTAGCCAACTGAGTGTTTTCCCATTCAACGTAGATAATGCTACAGGATTTATGCAGGTCTGTTCTAGGTTACCTCAGCACCTGTTGTTAACTGAGTCTCTTCCCAGTCACCCCAACACCTTAATAAAAGATAAGATGAGCTAAAATCAAAATGCAAGCAAGCTAGAGCAGTACGTTTAACTTGTACTTAATAATTAAAGAATTTTTAGCGGGAGAAATAATTTTCAATCGGCAAATAGCGTTATTACAGTTACCAATACAAACAACTCGCTCTCAAAAAGGTAGCACTTGTATTCGGTATAGGTGACTTAGCAAATGGCTTCACCTTACGCAGGCTCGGTCGTACCTGACCATTCAGATCCCCTTTTAGACAAAACCCAACACGCTTTTTCGTCACAGTTGTTTAAAGCACAAGTGTGATCGACTTCGTCGCACCACGTATCAACATCATGAACATTGGGGTCAAATGTAGACACAATAATGGTTTGATCTCAACGGATTCGCACGCGTCGATATGACGCTCTGTTACGTCTTGAGTGCCGCGCAGCCACAGTTTCGAATGGCAGCGCAGCGCCAGCACGACAGCGTCGGCAGCGACAGCATCACAGCTGCAGCGTCAGCAGCACCGGCTGTGGCAGCATCCGCAGCGGCAGCGCACGTAGCAGCGCCTGCGGCAGTAGCGTCGGCGCCAGCAGCGCTCTGTCCTGGCCCGTCTCAGAGTGACACCTGAAGTAATCAGGAGCAGATGAGGGCACCGCTTCAGGGTCGTTGTCGTAATGATTGCTATCTGTTGAGCAAATAAAACTAATAGGACACCATCAATTAGAAATCTTTGCCTATTCTTTCATTAATCACACTTCTAAGGTCCTCTTTCAATTCAAACACACTGTTTCGATATAAATCCATTTTCAAGCATTCATCCAGATAGCATACTTCATCAGACAGGTATGCCATCCATTCTCAAACTTTTTCGATCGTACTATCATCACCCCACGCGTTAATACACATACGGCAATGTGTCTGCAAGCCAAAAGTCCAATACACATACAGCAATGTGTCTGTAGGACAGACGTCCAATACATATTGTGCAACAACGTGTCTGCAGGACCGAAGTCCAATACACGTACAACAACGTGTCTGCAGGTCCGAAGTTTAATACACGTACAACAGCGTGTCTGCAGGACTGGAGTCCAATACACATACGACCATGAGTAGGCACTCTCGAAAAAGGCTGCACAATTTTCAAAGCACCATTCGCCTTTCCACGGCATCATGTTCTGTGCCGCAGCTTGCATACTTTTCCGGCGGTAGCGCCTACGGCGTCGGAGACTGTGGGAGCGGCGCCTACGGTGGCAGCGCCGGTAGCGGCACCGTCCACGGCAACATTTGTTACCCGCTTGGTTCGCCCTCGCTGGGTGCCTCAGAACCAGAACACTACTCCAAGGAGGTCTACCGTTGCCAGATAGCGTGCTCGGTGTCCGTTAGCTGATCTAAATACCAGAAATGGCCTATACAGCAGCTATTCATATCCCAATGCTGATGTTAGAAATCTAAACCAGAGATCATAAAAACGACTAGAAATCAAGAATAATTTAAATGAAATAAAAGTCGGTTACAAAATGTAATGTTCATATTTGAAAAGCACGGGACGAGAGCACACCAGCAAAAAAGCAAAAAGAGCCGTTAGCTTGGATTGCAGCGCCTTAGGGCGCGTTTATACGACACGAATTTCAATGCGCTCACCCCGCGCGGTCGCCGAGCGGAGTCCGCTCTTCGACCGCGCGGCTGCCGCCGCGGGCTCCGCTTTTCCACTGCGTGGCGGTCGCGCGAAACCTTTCTCGTGTGTCTGGGCGCTTATATAGTATTCATTGCTGACAGTTGGCAGCTCTGACGGTCGGTTGGCAGCTCTGGGCAGAGACGTTCCTAATAGTAGTATATTACGTCAAAATAAATATATGTACGTGTTAAATATATACACCTGTGTCGGTCGATCATTTTTGATAACCCGGGTCGATCATGTGGGTCACGGGTTATCAAAAATTATCTCTTGTCTTGTAAGCTGCTATTGATGCGGTGTCAGAGTGGAGTTTAGTTAGTCGTATGCCATTTAAACAAAAAATGCAAAGTCATTACTTACACCCGTAAACGTTGCCCACGACTAACAAACTATAAATTATTTGACGCCTGTATAGTTAGAGTTTTTGACATTTGTAACTTAGGAGTAACATTAGATGGTAAGTTAGACTTTCATAATCATGTGACAGCAACCTGGAAACAGGCGAATAAGACTTTAGGTTTTATTTTACGGACATCCTATGAGTTCAATGACGTGGCTGTAGCGAAGGTGTTGTATAACGCCTACGTCGCAGCAAACTAGAATATGCAGCTATCCTTCGCAGTTTATTGCAGGCATGGTGGACTCCGACACTTTGTCTCGTAAGCGAAGGATGCTTCTTCTGGCTCAATATATATTCGCGTTCCACCATCATAAGGTGGATATCGACATAATGTCTAAGATTGATCTGTTGGTGCCCACGCGTATGTATACCTTGGGGTGATGAGGGTGCGGTGACCCCGTGCCGCCGGCTGCGGCTCTTACGCAAGCCCGTCACTCGTACGGTACATGCCGCAAACGCGCCTCCCGTTCGCGTTATACGCCTGATCGGGGACATACTCACTCAGTGTGATCACATTGATATAGTAAGGAGAGTTGTAATATATTTATAATTACCTGTTTATGACATGTAAGCTTGTTGGCTATTTAGCTGTAAGTTTACAATGTAAATGAATGAATAAATAATAAATAATAATAGGAACGCGCCCGCCCTTACTGATGTTACTTCTTAAGTTATTGATTGAATTATTTTTACTTCTGTAGGTATTTGGCATAACCACGAGAATACGGTGGCGATGAGCGCGGGTGGCCGGGGCCGATAGTACCGCGGCGCGCGCCCGCGCAGGCCCCCCTCCCCGCTCCACCGCCCCGCGCCAATCGCCACCATGGTGCGCGACAAGAAGCCTATCCACAAGACAGAGTCGCAAAAATGTAAGTAACTACTGCTTCATTCTTCTGTTTTGGAAAATTGTCTTGTTTTTGAGTTGAGAAATGTACCAGTACCTGTATACACATAATTCACTTATATTGTCAATGCAGCAGAAAACTGTTGCCTGGTCTGTTCTCTACACTTTGCACTTACTATACATGAGACTTCAGTTATTGGGTTAGCGAACGTGATTCAACTTTACCTACTTCGTCTTCTTCCTGTCCTTATCCCGCTAGGTGGGATCAGTCTCCCCTATTCGCCGTCAATTTCAGACTCATTACCTACTACATTTGTAAATTTTACAACTGAGCAATATTTTATTGCATTACTATTACATCCACACAAGTTCTGTTGTATAAGAGCCAGCGCACACGGCATTTGTTTTGCGCTGACGACGCGCGTTAACGCGGTTCAAACGAGATTCAGTCGCATCCCGTAAACCTTTGCACGCATTCACAAATTCAGTAGCGCCGCAAACCCAAATCATCTGCGGTTATAAAATATGCCGTATATAACGTTCTATAGGGAGATATAGACGATTGCGGTGGCAAAGCGGTGCAGTGGCGCGAGCGCTCCTCAAACCCCTTTCTTTTCTTCCTAGCTAAGCAGTAGCTTAAAAAATTACGTATTCAAGTGTAAAAATGTTACCTATGGAATAAATTATTATTTGATTGACTTTGACCTTAGAGCAATCCCACACGGGGCGCTACCAATACGTTGCGTTGTCGCAATGCTGTAATTTCATCGTACCGAGTGCCACACAAGCAATGCGATGTCGTAATGTAATTCTGCTTACTTACCAACATCCCTTCGCGTAACCTTCGTATCCTGGGGGTCTAATCAGGTATGAAGCTTCATTCACATCATAGAATTTGTTCGACTATTACTTATTTCACAGTAGTTTTGGACGGATATCGGACGGAGAACGGCAGTAGAGGTCCTTTGCCCCATGCGCACTCGTTCCGTGGCCGCACATGGCTCGTTTTTGTGGGCGCGTTTGAATCGACACAAATCCAATAATCTGCTTTTTGACCGTCGGTTTGCAGAAATACGCCGTGTGTACAGAAGCTTACAATTTCTTCTGAAAAATAATCCAAGTATTTAGCATTTCATCAAAGTAATTTAGACTTAAACAGCACTAATTAGCAGCCTTTGCGGGAACCGTCTAATTATCAGGTTTATTTTCATTTTTGTTAACATCCCTTAACATTGTAATGACGATTTACTGAAAGTGTAAACGACCCTCCAATTAATAAGTTACATAATATTTTGCGAGTTTCTAAATTGAGCTTCTACTTCATTTACATTTTGACCTTTGTTAGACTAGACGGGAAGTCGACTTCCTATAGAAGCGCAGTAGTCTTTCTTATGTTTTTTGTTTCACTTTTACGCACATTCGCGCGCGCAAAATTTTAGTTGAACATTTTCTCCATAAACTCAATTTGGTGTCCTTGGACTTCAAGTGTCTGAAGACATGGATCGGAATTCTATTGTTGGGCTTCGTGACGACGTATTTAGATGTTATACTATATCTTTGAAGAACGGCCGAGTAATTTTGTAAATTGTTATCAGTATCAAGTAATTGTACGTCTCACAGCTGGGCACGTGTCCGAAAGGGATTTGAATCGCGTTGACCTCTTCATTGAGAAGCAACTGTTCCCTCGTTGGGCATTTTTAAATTTTTGTGACAATCGTAAAACAAGAGTACTGTCAACAGCATGTTATAACCGATATTCGAGGATGTTTTGGGAAGTTTCGAGTCACTGTCGCCTATGAACGCCTGCAACACCAGGGGCGTCACGAGCGCGTTGCCAACCCGTTAGGACCCTTCTCAAACCCCTTTTGAAGGACTCTGTATTCCTGTGGGAAAACCCCGACGAGGGGTTCATTCCACAACCTAATTGTAAACGAAACAAGTAAAATTACTTCATTCTTGCATTTTCATCTGTCTCTCATAAGCCGGTTTAATGAATTTCACCCGCTTTACATTCGTTACACATCAAGTATATACAATAAAATACAGTACAAAGATGACTGCCTCTGTGGCCGAACGGTAACCATACAGGTCTGCCACGCTGAGGTCCCGAGTTCGAATACCGGACGGGGAGAAATATTTGTATGGCCTACATTTGTTTCTTTCGTGAGTTTGGATGTAATTAATGGTTGTCTATGTGTGACTCCATGGCATCCGCGATACAGGGTTTCCCCTAGTGCGAGGCTACGAATAATTAAAATAAAAACAAATAAAATTAAATGAATCCGGGATGATGAGGGAGGAACTATCTTCTATATGTGTGTTACTTCTGTGAAGTTTAGGTAAATGTTCTCTACCTAATTCGATACCTGATTCTGGTTGAACCTGGGCTGTTATACTAAAGAAAAGCAAGACCCGATTCATCTTCGTAATATCCACGAAATCCCATCCTGTGCGTACAATCTCATGACTTCGTTCTCAAAATATGTAAATACGCCTTATCTACATCAGGTGCATAACATTTCTCACCTAATACACAATATCGCACGTTATCCTTCGACACTGACATCTTTAGGTTTTCTTATCTATTGGAAATAGATACATTACTCCCTATCTCAATATTATGAGGGCAAACTTACAGCTTATGGAGACCTGAAACGTAAAGTGAGGAAGACATTCTCAAATGAACGTTACATTGCGTACTTTTTTGATAAAATAGAATATCATTTATTTGCTTTAAATAGGGCACGTTATAAAAGTTGGTGGTAAAATGTTAAATCAAAATTTATAAATTTAGAAAGAGCTCAGAGATCACTACTAAAAGTAATGTATTTCAAACCGTTTAGATATCCCACTGACGACCTCTATAAATTTTCTACAGTCCTGACAGTGAGAAAATTATATATACTATTAGTAATTTTGAAATTCCACAGAAGCCTAAGTTATGACCCTTGCGTAATGAAAAAAAGAAGAAGCAATTTTATGATTCCCTACGATAATGTTAAAACAACTTTTGCTAGTAGACAATTTAATAGACGTGCATCTTGCCTGTACACTAAAATTAATAAAAAACTGTTAATTTATCCTTTAAAGACCCACGATTGCAAAAAAGTTGTGTATGACTGGCTACGGACCCTAAATTATAACGAGACTGAATCCATTATGGACATCGTACAATAGATTGTAAACACCACCACGCGCCCACACACACACACACACACACACACATAATCACCCACACACACGCACACATACACACACACACCAACACACACATACTCTTACATATACACACCCATAATTACACACACATTATACACATACAATTCCAAATTTTATTTTATTTTTTGTGTTAAATTTTTATGTTATTTTAATTAATCTAGATTAGCTAAGTTACCTAAGCTTACCTAACTTACCTGGTCACATAATAGTACCCTAACTAGGAAGAGCGGGGTCTCCTAGCACAAGCAATTAGTTTGCTTAAAAGGAGTTCCCCTGCAAACTTGCTGTAAACTAGGTTTAAGAAAACGTAAATAAACACTTTTTATTTATTTTTATTTTATTTTTATAAAATAAGTTTGAAGAACTTAATCCTATTTAGCCTTAAATAAGAGCATGCATATAGTACAATATACATTAAGAAATTGATTGAACCAATACACTATAATACATTACTTAAAGATCAATATATGCATCGATTTGGGATCAATCACCTATATATTAGAAAAAATCGTCAATAGAGAAGAATCCTTGTTTTTTATAGTATCTGGTAATGGGACGATCAAGTCGTGCGCTTTATGGTAAGCTACTTCACCGTCCACCACGCCTTTAAATCACTTAGATGCAAGTGCACAGCCACAGCTTCCATCACTTTGACATTGAAAAGTCCCATGTGCCCGTAATTTCACCAGCACTTTTACCTTTCAAAACCGAAACGCAATAATGCGGACATTACTGCTTGGCGGCAGAAATAGATAAGATGACTGTTCCCTGGACGAACTCTGTCACAAAGGACTCTACTGCGACTATAGTGCAAGAATCATCTTCACGCATCTTAAGTAGACGTATACAAATGTAGAGATTTGCTCAACAATTATGTGAGAACTAAGCTATTTGGCACACCTGACGGTATTGATGTAAATGGGGTGGGAATAACCATGTTACGACGTGCAAACTTCGCCCGCTAAACTACAGGAGACTTTACTTGTTAAGTACATAGTGTAAGTTTACAAATTGCGTTTCCGTTATAAATAAAATGTTTATGTCAGTATTACAGTTAACGTTACATTAACAGTGGATGGTACCTCCTATTAAGCTTATCAAGCCTGTATCAGGAGGCACCGCTCGTCCATAGCTATAAATGCACATTTAACATTTTTAAGTTATACTTGTTTGTGTGTGTGTGTGCGTGTGTGTGTGTATGTGTGTGTGTGTGTGTGTCTGTCTCTCTCTCTGTGTGTGTCTGTGTGTATGTGTGTCTGTGTGTGTGTGTGTCTGTGTGTCTGTGTGTATGTCTGTGCGCGTGCGTGCGTGCGTACGTGAGAGCGTGCGTGCGTGCGTGCGTGAGAGCGTGCGTGCGTGCGTGCGTGCGTGCGTGCGCGCGTGCGTGCGTGCGAGCGTGCGTGCATGCGTGCGTGCGTGCGTGTGTGTGTGTGTTGCCATAGATTAGGAAAGTAGTGTTTTTAAACCAAGTGTTCTAATAGATCTTTGGTGTCCTCATACGATTTCGATTGTAGCCATTTTAGATATAACTTTCTTGCAGTCTCTATAACTTTTGGCGTATATGTCTAATTCCTTATTCATTAAAGTGTACAAATGGGCCGATCGTTTGTTGAATTGTCTGTTTGCAAATGTTGTATTTACTTTAGGTACTTGTACCACAACGTCTTTCCTTCCCCTCTTCGAAATATTTATGTCATATTTTAGAGACCTATGTTGTCTGCGTATAGTTTGAGTGATGTAGAGTTTTTCCTTACAGTGGCAAAATTTGATAGTTGATACAAACTGCTAGTGGAAAATCGTCTTTTT